AATCGTATTAAGGGAAGTAAGCCAGACACAAAGAAATATAGGTCCCATGGTTTCCCTCATTTGCAATAATTAGTATAACCTAGGATAATCTTAGCAGATGAGCAGAAAAGCTAAAAATAATGACCAGATAAGATGATGCTAAGCGAAATGAACCCCAAGATATGGACAAAAGAGGTTTTTCTTTGTTATTGTTGTTTTTAATGAACTATGTGATTTTTTTTGTTTCTATTGTATGTTCTTACCCCTCTGGTATATCTCCTGTTGTGACAGTATTTGATTTTTGGCACCTTACATCTTGTATATACATTTAGCTAATTTGGGGAGGGGAAGGGGAATAACAAAATGCTGAAACAAGGATACAGGATGACCCATTGCAACAATGATACTCATAAGACACGAGGTTGGAAATGAACTCTACAACATTGGGGGGGGGAAGGAAGGAATAGTAGGAGAAAAACAAAGGAGGGAGTAACAACGATTGGCAAGAAAGGTACTCATTACTCACATAACTGTAACCCCTCTGTACAGCATCTTTACAATAAAATGCAATTAAAAATACTTATCACTGAGAAACTTTACTACTGAGTAATCTAGAACAACTGAGTGAATACAGTACGGAAGACAAGTTTTCAGGCTGCCTTGGTTGTATGTGTGGCTCACCCTTAGCGTCTTAGGAAGATGATGACAGTCTGGGCGCCCCTCACTCTCCCAGTCCTATTTGGACAGAATCTCCTGACTTCCATTTAAGGAAGGAGTGCGGGAGTGGAAGCTGAATCTACTCTTACCGTTGGTAACTTCTGGTCTGGTAATAACATATTTTTCTTTACCATCATCCCCACTGCTTCCTCTTCTCCCAAGACACCACTGGAGCTTGGAAACCTTTTGTCCTACAGGCTTACCTAGTGAGTGATGTGAATTGAAATTAGCTATGACCATAGTGCGGCCACAGATTCTAGAATTGCAAGGTAGCCTTGATTCACCTGTAGGAACAGACTGGATTCTGTTTTTGCCATTCCCAATTCTGTTTCACTTTAGAATTATTTTCATCCTCCTGTCATCTAAAACTGAAATTATCATAAGTTGAACTTATTGTAGATTCTAAAGTAATGGAAACGGGTATAGGAATTATCCGGTGTAATATTTTGCCAATTGTGTTCTGCAGAAGGCCAACCTTGCAAAAAGTGCTCTGAAAAAGGCTCCTGGGGCCAGGTAAACGTGGAGACAGCACTCTCCAATGCCTTCCTTGCATCTGTGCATGTTCAAGGCGTCAGTGTGCACTGTACATAAAACGATGTTAAAACTCATTCTAGCTTTGTGGTTCTTCCTAGATCACAGAATTTCCACAGGAAAACGCTAAGTTTCCAATCTAACTGTCCATAACCTTAAAGCTTGCTGGACACTGAATGCTCTTGGTGGGAACACATGAAAACACACCACATGACGGCAGTACTTAAAAACACAGGTCACTGAGCGCCAGAGGCTCACGCCTGAAATCCTAGCTACTCAGGAGGCTGAGATCTCAGGATCGTGGCTTGAAGCCAGCCTGAGCAGGAAAGTCTGTGAGATCTTTAACTCCAATTAACCACCAAAAAGCCAAAAGCAGAGGTGTGGCTCAAGTGGTAGAATGCTAGCCTTGGGTTAAAAAAGCTCAGGGACAGTGTCCAGGCCCTGAGTTCCAGCCCCAGGACTGGCAACATACAAACAAAACCCGACAAATGAAAATCACACAGATGATAAAAGGTTTACAGGACTGAAGAAGCAATAAGCTTGCAATTAGAAATGTATTCATACTCATCTCTATCAGCTCAAAGGTCCCTCCCTTCCTCCTTCCATCCTTCCCTTCCTCCATCCTTCCAAAATATTTCCTTTTTTGTGTCCCAGGAGACTGACATTCATCAAAAGAAGTTTAAGGCTTTAAGATTGGACTGAAATATTGAACTGCCCTATATATACATATAAAATCCCTGTTCAAAGAGTTTTTAAAAAATATTTTTTTAAGTACAAGGAAAGCTTGTTGCATTCGGAATTGCTCAAAGGCCCAGGTCAAGCCTGGTGGCCTTTGTTGCTATTTTTGAAGTTAGACAAACGGTGTTCACCTAGAGAGGATTAAAATGGCAGATTTGTGTAAGACGAAAATCCTTCAGAGCAGATATGAGAATGCTCAACTGGAGTGTCTACATTAAATCAAACATCTGGATGAAAAGATAAAAGCTGAAGCAAGTCTCCACGTTTCCACATGTATCAGGGACACCTATGCTGATTGTAAGATAAACAGTTTGAGTTACTATTCCCCCTGCATCTTTCTTTCTTTGCTCTTCTCCCTTCTTTCATTAGACCAATAGGGCAGATGGCTACACTTTTACCTTGAATACAGAATAATACTTTGGATACGTTCATGAAAGCAAATGATGTATTACCTTAAAAACCAATTGTATGCAAAGAAATGCTGTGTTGTGCAAGGAAATGCTGGGGATCATCCTGAAAAGCACTGGAATACTAATGGTGATGATGGTGAAAACACTGCTGAGAGGCAGCAGGGTCTGAAGAATCAGTGCTTTCTTGCTATTGTTTCTCTTTTAATTAACAAGCAGCAAGGCTTGCTCCTGTAAGCCAATTTCCTGCTTTAGCCTCTTGAATGCTGCGATTATAGGCATGTTGTCACTATGCCTCATATTTTTTTTCTTTCTAATCCTGGGGCTTGAACTCAGGGCCTGGGGAAGACTAGTACACTACCACTTGAGCTCCACTTTCAGCTGGCCCAGGCTGGCTTCAAACTATGATCCTTAGATCTCAGCCTCCTCAGTAGCTAAGATTATAGGTGTGAGCCACCAGTGTCATGCCCAGCAGCCTACTTTACTCTTATTTAGTACTTTCACTTGAAGGTTTTACAATAGCATCGGGGAAACTCTACATGATAAATATACTTCTGGCAAGCCTATCTTTTTCTTTAGTAATAAAAGGGACAGGCTGCCAGTTGATGTCAGTCGGCAAGGAGAAGAGAGAAGGAGAAGGGACTCTTATTATTTACTAGGTTCTCCAAGCATGTTCTTTCATTTCAATCCTGGTAAAAACCTGTGGGGGGCACAAATCTTATCTTTGTTTTATAGGTAAGAAAACTTGATTCAGAAAAAGTCTTCAAATTTGCTCCCATCTGGGAGTGAGGCGGCAGCTAATCTAGAATGTGAATGTGGACTGTATGTTCTATGACACCAACCCCGTGACCCAAAATACATGTGGATAGAATGAAATTTGTTTAAGAAACATTTACAAGAATGGCAGATTCTGTGCCAGGTGTCAGAATTCTAATGCGTCTCACAAACCCTAAATGAAATGACTTTAATCAACACTTCAATCTGGTACAAATAACCACATCCAGAAGTATTCAGAGCAGCCTTGGAGGCTCTGCTTTGCCATCCTTACTGTTACCACCTACTGCTTTTACATTATTTTCCTCATGCTTCCAAAAATAGAAGGAATATTTCTAACGGCCCATGAGCATTCTTTCTCGTTTCCAATCACTAGAAACCTAAAGCGCTGATCAATGTGCAGCAGGATAAAAAGGTTATAAGGTGAATGTGAGCGACAGACCTCAGGATGGTGTAAATTTGGAAGGCGCTGGCTTTGGTCCATGGTGTATATGTCAGAACCAGAAGAGATTGCTCCAAATGGCCTTTTATTCCTAACACTGAACTGTAGGCCGACTCCTAAAATATATATGACTGTTACTTCTCTCTAATTCTCTAAATCTGTGCTTCACACCCTGGGATCAGAGCAGAATGACCAAGTTAATGTGGCATTTTCTGATTCTTCTGATTATACGTTATTTCACACACAGTCATATCTGTTTTGTTTGGTCCACCTGTATAATGCCGGGTATTCTATATTAGAAACATCATCAGGCAATTTGTGCTATCTTGAGGGCATATGATACCTAAAGGAACATTTGTTGTTTTCTTGAACTGTTTTCATTTGCTAAATTTGTAACATATAAATTAGTGTTTAGGCTTAATGACAAGTATAGAATCAGTGGTGTAATATCACAAGGAAGTCTTAAGACTCACTTGTGAATGAGCATATGGGCCAGGGCTTGGAGCTCTCAATTATTATTTTTTTAAGTGTCTAATTTGATGGCTATGCAAAACAGAAAACTGTAAATATTGTGGCGGCAAACCCATCTATTATGCCTGGACTTAGAAATGGCTGCTAAACAACTGACAGGTATATTAAGGAAATAAGGAGGCTAGAGGCTCTTCACTGTACTTGGGTACCAGAGGCAGAAAGAAATTTCTCAAGTTGAAAAGTGAAGCTGGTAGTTGAGTGCAGACAGCTGAGATACAAAGATAGGAGTATAGCGCTGAGTTGACAGCTGAGATACCAAGATAGGAGTACAGTGCTGAGTTGAATGGAGAAGTATAATATGGGGGTGGGGCTGAAGAAATGCTGAGCCTGCATAAATTATGAAAAAGCCAAAAGTTGAGGATGCCAAAGTACTTTATACTTGGTGTTATGGGTTAAATTGTGACCCACGCCCCACTTCTCACCATTAGGTTGAAATTCTAACCCCTGATATCTCAGGATGTGCTGGTATTTGAAGACAGGGCCTTTAAAGAGATCACCGAGTTAAAAGGAACTCACTAGGGACATCTGACTGATGTCCTTGCAAGACAAGAAACTCTGGACATAAACATTCATGGACAACGGAATGGCCATGTGAGGACCAGAGAGGAAGGTAGCCTTCTTTTCAGCACTCTCACAACAAACCAACCTGCCAGTTCCTTGATCTTGGACTTCTGGCCTCCAGAAATGTGATCAAATGAATTCTGTTGTTTTAACTACTCAGGATGTGGTATGTTGTTATGGCCACATGAACCAACCAATTTGCTTGCTCTACCTTAATCCACAGCAAACAAGCCAAGATGACAGGTGAATTACAAGTTGGGCCTTCAATAAAATCCAGGCATACTTTGGGAAATAATCTGTCCAAAGAAGGTGAGACTCACCACATCGAAGGCAGTAAACACGTGACAGTAGTGGTGATTGGACTTCAAATCTTTTGTGATATAAGCAAACGTTGAGAGGTCTTCGGGGTCTTGGGCAGCACAGGAAATATTACGAATTTCATGCTCAGCAATTATGTTCTGGGGGAAGAAATAAGACATAAATAACCATTGCTTTCCTAGGCAAAACAGCACATTTTAGGACCAAGGCAAGTAACCTGGGGAGCAGGTGCTTTCTTTTCTAGAATGTTCTAGACTAGCAACATTCAAAGTGATTCAGCACACTATCTGTGGGCAAAATGTACTCTGGGTCTGGAAGAGATGTTTTCATTTAATGAAAAACAACTTAAAATAGTCATATCCTGGAGCGGCGGCTCCCACCAGGTGCTGTGCACGGAAGCAGGCACTGCAGACGCGTCTGAGAAAAGCTGGGTGGCAGACGCTTTTGCAAGAGGCTGTAATTACGCAGCATTTCACCATTTCCACTCCCCACGTCCAGCTGTTGATATGCAGCCCTGCCTCCTGCTACTTCTGCCCAGGGAGGATCATTTGTCACTCAACAGTGACCCAAGTAGGTGTCCAATTCCCTTGCCATTATGCTTTCCCTGTTCTTTTTCCTTTTTTTTTGAGGTGCTGAGAATGGAAACCAGGGGCTCATTTATGCCAGGGAACATGCGCCCCATCATGGAACCACACCTCCAACCTCTGCCCTCTTCTTGTGACCCACCCTGTCCCCCAGATCCAAGGCAGACACAGCCTCAGGTGGTCTCTCTCTCTTCAGAATTCTGTGCCAACTAAGACACAGGGTCAGGACCAGGGGCACCATATTGCAATATTCGGGACTTGGCTGTATGATCATCTCTCCTTCCCTCATCCCTCGGTGTGTATGATGGGATGTGGTTTGCTGTTACTGCCTTCATCTTACAGGTGAGAAGATAAGCCTTGCTTGCAGTGACTTTTGCAGGTCAAGTGTGCAGCTAGGGCTGAAGTCTGAGATCATCTGCAGAAATCAGGCTCTTTCAAAAGTACTTTAATGCTGTTCGTCAATTCTACTCTCCCTTTCTAGTCTAAAAGAATCTCATTTTTCCTTTCTAGCGTTTCTTCGTGCCCTCCCCTCATCCCATCCCTGCCTGCTTGAGAGTACTGCTGGGAAGAATGGTTTAGTACCATTGTCCTGAAATACAAAATAACCACAGAGCATTATTTTTCCTGCAAAACCTGCTAGAAACATTTTTTTGTCTGTCAGTTGTGGGGCTTGAACTCTGAGCCTGGGTCCTATCCCTCAGCTCTTCAGCTCAAGGTGAGCACTCTACCACTTGAGCCACAGCACTACTTATGGTTTTCTGATGGTTTATTGGAGATAAGAGTCTCATGAACTTTCCTTGCTTGCGTTGGCTTTGAGCCATGATCCTCAGATCTCAGCCTCCTGAGTAGCTAGGATTATAGGCATGAGCCACTGGTGCCCATCTAGAAACTTTTTTTTTTTAAGAAATTAATTAATGGGCTGGGAATGTGGCTCAGTGGTGGAGTGTTTGCCTACCATGCATGAAGCCCAGGGTTCAATTCCTCAGTACCACATAAGCACAAAAAGCTGGAAGTGGTGCTGTGGCTTAAGTAGTAGAGTGCTAGCCTTGAGCAAAAGAAGCTTAGGAACAGTGCCCAGGCCTTGAGTTCAAGCTCAGGACTGGCAAAAAAAGAGAACTTAATTAATGTACATTGTAAAGGTGATGTACAGAGGGGTTACAGTTACATAAGTCAAGTAATGAGTGCATTTCTTTTTGAACAGTGTCACCCCCCACATCTTCCCTCCTGGCCCCCATTCCCTACCAGTTGTATAGCTCATTCTCAACATAGTGTCTAGTGAGTGTCACTGCTGAATTAGTTCACCCTTTGTCCCACCATTTCTGTGCTCCCCTTCACCCTTCCCCAAACAGGTAAACTTACATACAAGACCAAAGGTACAGAAATCAAAAAAGTGACAAAGGAGGGAACCCCCCCCCACAAAAAAAAACAAAAATGAAAACAAAAGGCAAAGTAACAAAAAAACTCTTGTTACCAATTCTTGGGAGTTCACTTCAATAAACATCATTTTATTTGATCATATGCACAAAGCTATTGAGCCTTTGTGATCCTCTCCTAAGAATATCCTTCTTTGGTCTCACCGTGTGAATGCTGAGAGTCCTTTTTAATTTACCTTGTCTGGGTGTAATTTTTTGTCTTTTACCATCCATTACTTGTAGATTTATAGGCACATTCTAATTTCTACAAATGAGGGAAACTATGCAACCTATGTTTCTTTGGGTCTGCCTTACTTTGCTTAATATAATTTTAGAAACGTTTTGATACTTAGTTTTATATATATATATATATATGTATATATATATACATATACACACACACACACACACACACACATATACATGTTATATTTTTTTTTTTGTCAGTTGTGGGGCTTGAACTCTGGGCCTGAACGCTGTCCCTGTACTCTTCAGCTCAAGGCAAGTGCTCTACCACTTGAGCCATAGCACCACTTCCGGTTTTCTAGTGTTTACTAGAGATAAGAGTCTCATGGACTTTTCTGTCCAGGCTGACTTTGAACTGTGATCCTCAGATCTCAGTCTCCTGAGTAGCTAGGATTACAGGCGTGAGCCACTGGCACCCGGCTCATAATTATATTTAAAAAGAAAAAAGTTCAATAAGAGTGCAATCATTTTTTATCTTATACTAGCCTACTTACGGTTTTTTTTGCAGCTGTCATAGATCTAAACCCCTCAATGTTTTTGTTACCTAATTACTTTTAACTGCAAGTCTTAAAGAACCTGTTGGCAATAAAGTGTGCCATGTCTACCCATCAATGCCTAAAAATGCTTACAAAATGTCTTTCCCTACCAGCAACCCCCAGCAAGCACTTCACATCTTTTACTCTACAGAGTTGTGTATTTGTGAAGCAATTACAGAATTAACGCATAAAAGAAAATTAAGTTAAGACATTCTTCACTGTGGCCTTGTACGCTGACATTACATGCAGCCACTCTGTCAAAAATAACTCAAACTGAAATTGGAATTTCACAAACAAGTAACATTCTTCTACTGCAAGACAATTTCAAAATAAAGGTCACGGTCCTATTCTGGCATTTGGGCAGCATGTCCTCAAGTAGGAAGCTAAAATAGGAAATTGTGCATCTTTAAAAGGAATTTTAGGCTTTGAGTAGATCTTTAAAGGTGCAATGCCCACAGGTGTGGGAGAGTTGCCATCATTGGGTGGGGGCTGCTAAGACCCTGGGAAGTGTGGGTGGAGTTGGTCTCATCTATTGAAGATCGATGTCATAGGTAAGGGTAAGGAGCACTGCCTCCAACTTTACTAAACTGGCACTTTGAATTTTGTGGATCCTTTGTCTGCATAGGGTGGATCAACTTCTTGGGGGAATGGTTAGGGTGACACATGCTGATGATCTGAATGTGCATTTCATTCCTGGACGGTGCCAGTTCACCTGACACTACTCTTCATGAATGCACTGGTGTGTGGCGGTATCCTGGCTTTAAGCCAAAAAGGTAAAAGTCTTTGAAGTTTTCCTTTATTTCCTCGTCTTCTCCAGAACTTTCTGGAGACCCTTTACTCTTTCTGGAGACTCCTTTACTCTTAGGAGCCCAGGCTGTTTTTTTTAAATTAATTAATAAACTAATTAATTGTTTTACGGTGCTTTGGATTTAACCTGGGACCTCATGTATGTAAGGCAAGTCTGATCTTTAGCATTCTACCACCAAGCTGTGCCCTCAGCTACAGGGCTGGCTTTTAATAGCGCACTGAAGCTTGTCTTCTGTGATTCTCCAGAATTTAAAAACCAGCCTCCTGCAGAGATGGTTATTCCTATTCTTCTCACTGTCTAAGCTAGGAGAAAAGCTGGCTAATAAAAGCTGTATTCAGGAAGGAGAGAATTTAAACCAATGCTAGAATGTGTGCTCTATCATGTGGGACCTCACTGTGGAAACACTCACTTGCCTTGTCTTGTCTACCAGTGTGGGATGGTGAAGCCAGTTCTCTACCTCTTATACAGCTCCAAGGCCAAGGTCTCTGCAGCTGCACCTGGAGGAGGGCTGGCTGGCTTCCTCCTTGGTGAAGAATCCAGGAGGATAGCATTCTTCCCTCTCCAGCCAACCATCAACTCAAGGCTCCTCCATAAATTAAAAGGTGCCACCATGTGAGTTACAAGTTGCCTCTCGGTTTAAAATTAAGACTCTTTGTATGTTATTAACCTTTCATTCTCAGCATGTTCTAGGGAGAAAGCAACTTTACAAAGGCACAAAAGAAGGATTGGGGAGAGGCTCAGTTTGGCATCTTGGTACCTTTCAACAGGGAGGGATTTTTGCCTGACTGCTACCCTTCATGTTGAGAAACAGCTAAGAAGGTAGCCTGGCAGGGGCAAGAAAGCATTGTATGATCTGGCCAATGAATATGATGGTTCTAAGAAGGAAAGAGATTACATAGTAACAAAGCCTAGAAACTTGCCCTTCACTGAAAATTTCCATCTGTGCACCACCATTTAGGGCATTTCTCAAGACTTCCCTCCCCAGGCCAGGCTTCTCCTCAGGGAGAGATTGCATCCATCCCTCCAGAGAGAGTCCCAGAGCCAGGGCAGGAGCCCTGGATGAGGGCTAACTGGAGATGGAGGAATGGAGCATACTAATAAACTCCATTACTGCTTCCTGATTTTACTTTGGATTTCCCTCAGTGGGCAGTGCTCTCTTGGTGGGCCACTTTGGGCTGAAGACCACAGCACATATACCGAAATTGGTCTTTACTACCTCAGAACTGCTTAGAGAAAACAGTGGGCATTTGTTTCAGTTAATGTTCTGAATTATTTGATGCCTAGAAAACAGCATAAGCTATGTTTGAAGCCGGCATTTGAAAACAACAACAAAAACTCAACATCCCTCACTCCCCACGCCCCCCACAAAAATACCCAACAAAACAAAACCAACCAGACCCTGGGCTGCACTGTTCCTAATTTAGCCAGCTGGAAGGCTGAGAAGGTCAGTACAAGGAGGCACAGTCATTACTAGATGTGGGAACTAGGTCACCTTTGGGAGACCCTGTAGATCTGAAGCAAGGTCTGTCACCACACTGTCATGGCCCTCCAGGCTAAATCCATACCTCTGGCCAAAAGATCGAGAGAAATCCGATGTGATTCCTCTAAAACATTTTCAGACTAAATCTAAGCCAAACTCCATTTTAAATTCAAGATTGTTTTCTGCTTCTTCCTTTTTAAATCAGGGTTAGTGATTCGTTTCCTAAGTTGCTAGGCAGTACATTTATGTGTTTCTAACAAGACCCTAACCCTTCCCCATGAGCTCAGCCAGACCTATTTATTTATGAGAATGAAAGGGAAGAAATGCTTCGCTGGAGAGTGCATCTTTCTCACAGTGTAATGGGGGCTAATAGGAAGGGAAGAGTAATTAACACATAATTAATTATCCCTTGTACTTTAATTGGTGGAAGGTAGCTGTGCAGCAATAGGGAAAGCATGAGGTTCAGGAGTGGGGAAATCAAGTTTTAGTCCTTCTCCATGACCAGCAGGCGGTGTGTCCGTAGGCAGCACTCAGTCAAGGGACGTCTGAGGCCGTATGTCCTGCATGCAGATTAGACAGTTACCTTCATTTTTTCCAGGGGAGGTTGAGGGAACACATGTTAGGAGAACAGTGTTGGAGAATAAACACTGACTATCAATAGGAAGGTGTCTGTTTGGTTGTACCTTAGTACGGGATTAGTGGCCACTGGTACACGAAGTGGCAATAATACCTTTAAATTCATGTCTACTTCACAAATCCAGACAAATTCAAATTCACAAATCCAAATTCAGACCAAAGTGGCCCAGCAAGACAGCACTGCCCAACAGGGGAAATTTTCCAAAGGCAAAACCAGGAAGCAGCAGTGGAGTCTATCAGTCTGCCCCCTCCCTGCAGATTCTTCACACCTCCTCAAGCCAGTTCCTCAGCTCTGGCTGGTTCTCAGGTTTCTCAACCTTCGACAGTTCAATCCCACCCATGCAACACCAATCACTTTTTTTTTTAGCCTTCTAAATACAATCTTTTTTCTTTGACTTTCCAAACAGTAGCTACCAGGCTTTTGCCCAAGGCATCTAATCTCTCTCTTCAGTGTCCTACTGGGGAAGATTGCTGACATAGCTAGTCCAAGTGAGTGTCTCTTAGGTCCTGAAAGAGCCAACTATGTTGCTGTGTAGTCACTGACAGTATGGCGCTGCTTGCAACCATCCTATGCTATGCACTTTGCTTTTGCTCTAGATCCTGGAACTATGTTGAGACTATACTGCATGATCAGAAAAAGATGCTGGTTTGCTTTACTTGGTACCTTTAGCTATATGAAATTCACCAGGTATCCGTGGCTCACATATGCAACCTTCAGCTACTCCAGAGGCTGAGAACTGAGGACTGTGGTTCGAAGCTACTGGGGAAACAAAGTCTTCTGTCGATATTATTGTGCTGATACTTCCTAAGAATATGACTGGTGAGCAGCAGAGGTCTATGGATAGTCATCTTACCACTGGTGAATTGAATCAGAAATACTCCTAGAGATACAGGAGAATGGAAATCTAATCTTCGTGTGTCGACACCATGCTCTGATGGTGCAGGTGGGAGAGAGAGGATTTACTGATGCATCTGCCCCCAGTCATACAACTACTGTATGATGAAAATGGCCCTGAAGGTTTTGGAACTATCCCAGTACAAATACCCCTTGTTCAGAAATAATTAGAGTCCAACTCCAGACAGTGTCAAACTCATCCCCTGAAAATAGGTTGCTTGTCAAGTTTTTCAAATGCAAATAGGATAGAAAAAGTTGCTCTACATTAGGAGACAAAAATTCAACTGTCAGACCTTTGGTTACATTTAGATACAACAGATACCAATGAATGCTTCATTAAGTTTTAGAACTTTTTAAACAACTGACTATAATTTAAGGATAAGGTGATTTTATGTACCAGGACTACAGTTGTCTACAAGAAACAGAAAAACAACTCAATTGAAATTGTTCTAATGGGAGTCTCTGCAATTGCAATCTGACAAAACTAAGAATCAACAACACAGCGCAGCTCAAGTCACCACTGCATATAAGGCATCTAGCCTGAATATCCTGTGGCTATTGTCAACTGTATCTAATGCCATGCTAGAAGCTTTCTGCCTACGTTTCAGAATTTTTTCTAAAACTGGGAGATTGTTTTCCAAAGAAGATTTGGGGAGCTGTGGCTTACCTTGCTAAAGATGCAATGATTTTTCAGAAATCCAATTAAAAAAACTTCTAATTGGTTGTCTCAGATGTCCAGGTTTATTACAGACACCAAAGAGTCACTGTGCATGTGACTTTCTCTGATATTTACATCTAGTTGCTTTGGCCCTAACTTACTGCTGATTAGCTTCACCATTCCTTTATGACTTTCCTCCAAAATGGAGTTGGAGAGGGAGTTTACGTGGGAGCTCACAAAAGGCAGTATAGAAAACAAATGCCATTCACGATTGGCAAGCAACTCATTTCTCTTTTAGCTGAAAGGATTAGGGAAATAAAACACACAGTCCTTTAAGAGCTCTGTGAGGAAGAGCAGTTAACTTGGAGTTTATGGATGGTGACGGTGGTTATACTCAAGCTTTCTAGTGAGGATTTTTGTGGTCTTGACAAAACTCAACCCAGTTTCCCACATTTGACCTCAGAGCTGTGACCAGTTCACATGGTGAGCATGACACGTAGGGCCTGAGCTGCTTTTCTGATTGTGATCCCCAAGAAAATCAACAGCTGAAGCTCTCTTAACATCTCGGTAGTTGGGAATTATGGCAGTCACAGAATAAGGAAAGTCAGAAGCTCTGCTCCTCAGGTCAGGTGTTCTTCACAGGTACTAAAGGAATGAAAGGTACCCGGATCTCTAGAGGTATGCAAAGGCAAATGTTCTAGTTCTTCATCTAGCGTCTAACTTCTGTAACTGATTTTTTTTTTTTACTGCTTTAATGTTCTTTAGATCCAAGAGAACCTGCCAGATAAGTAGGTGGAGTCTTTTAGAGAATCATCATGAAAAAGAGCAAAATATGTACAGCAATTCTAGTTCCACAGTCTCTCTCTCTCTCTCTCTCTCTCTCTCTCTCTCTCTCTCTCCTTCTCTCTCTCCATTACAGAGAGTGATTAAAATGGGAATACTAAGATTTTTAGATCACACACTCAGGATGGTATGTGGTGTTTAAACTAGAGCTGTGACACCTACCTTATTTGTTGCATCAATAAACTTGACTCCTTTATATGAGACTGAAAGAATAATAGTAGGGACCTTCTTCATTTGCTCTGTAGACTTCTGAAATTAAAATTAGAAAGCTGTTAGAGCAGGATGTGTTGCATGGCAACTAAAGCACATAATCTTTCTTCTTGAAAGATAAAAATGAACACAAGCTAACACACACACACACAAAGCTCAAATACTCTAATTTAAGTGCTTGTCTCTCTTGGGATTAGCTATGTTTTGGACTTTTAAAGTCCATGTCTTATACTTGAGGATTAAGCAGTGTGGTCATTGGCCAGCTGCTTCCTGTGGGTGGAAAAGCGTCCTTTTCTCAGACATAGGAGAGACAATGATTCTGTATTCATTCTTCTGACACGGGTCGAGCACATTATATTTAACTCCATTGGTGTACTGTACATGATCAAAATATGTGCCAAGCGGCCCCTTTCCCCCCAGTCACCCTTATTCTTCAAGGCACAGGAGCTGTTTAGATAGGGGCTTAAAATAGGGATTTAAAACAAATCCTTAAAAAATTATTTTTTCAGTACTGGGGATTGAACTCAGGCTGTTGCCCGAGTTTCTTTCTGGTTAATTGGAAATGGAGTTTCCAATGACTTTTCTGCTTATGCTGCCCTCACATTTTGATCCTCTGGATCTCAGATACTTGAGTAGCTAGGATTATAGGCATGAGCTACTGGCGCCCAGCTTGTGAGTTTTTCACAAAGCTGCTCAAATCCTGGAAGCTGATAGCAAATTTATAGCAGACTCACATATGACTGCATAGTTCATAATACTGTCCCACACCAGCTAACCCCTCCAGGAGCCATCTGTACCATGAGCCACAGCAACACAGTCCAGGTAACCTACTTTATCAGGCAGAGCTGCTATATTCCCTTAGGCTAAGTGCTTACGATAGATGTTCATGCCAGTTTAACGTGCTTAGGGTTTGTAGCTACTTCAGTTTTATGCAGCTGCAAAGAAGTTTCTCTGTAAATTGAGTCTGTGCCCTTTTTGTTTATTTTCATCATTCATCATCAGTGACCAACAGTCTGTTTATTTCATTTTCCTCCATGGGTATTCTTAATAATCACATTAGATACCAAGAAGAACTTACCTGACAGTTAGCCTGATGGATTTTTCCAAACAAGACAGGTGAGAACACAATAGGAGAGAAAACATAAAAAGGTGAGCTAGAGGAAACCATTTCAATAATTCACCAACAGCACAAATTCATTAAAAACTAAAGATGTCACAAAGAGAATAGGCTCTGCAGATAGATGCAGATACAGTGAAACTGTTATTTTAGAAACTGCTGCAGGCTTTCCCAGATTGCCTCTTTCCTTTTCATTCTGTTTACTGCATTGCACAGTCTCAGGACTGACACACAAGAATTCTGCTTTAAGCTTTTTGCATCCAGCTGTCTTATGTGTATTAGAGGAATCAGGAAAAAGAACTTTCTTATCTCTCCATTTATATTATCCAACGTTTCACTTTTAATTCTGAAATGTGCCAGGATTAGATAAAGTATTTAACTGGTGAGTGAATCACACTGAACTCAATAATGACAATTCTATTAGAATCTTTCGCTTGACCTCCCTAGGAAAGGTATTTCGCATTGTTCTGATCATTTTTATACCAGCATCTTTTTGAGAGCTCTCATACCTGTCCTGGAAACAAAGGGATTTACTAAGAGCAGTATTTGATATTTATTGTGCCACACAGTATGGGAACAAGAAGCTCTCTTGAAATGTTTTTAAACTAGTTTCAAAATTACCTAGACTCGCCAATTTTCTTTTGCAGTTGCTGAAGAGAGATATTATGAAAATGGAATCAAGATTACATACTTTGATATCCTTAATGATTCTCTTAATGACTACTTATAAGTGTGCAAGACAAATCAAAGGCAAAGCTAGAAGAAATAACACACAGTATCCAAGTTTTAAGGCAAAGCAGTGGCTGAATTCTATAAGGACAATATTGTCCGTGGAAGCAGAGACAATAGTCTGGTCCACTGAATTATGTGTGAAGAACTCTTTGTAAAGCATAACAATGGGTTTTAACAAATCACCTTGCTCATATCTTGCCACATGAATACTCTCTCATGGAGAGGTCTTTCAATAACATGAAACAATACACAGCTAACATCAAAAGGAAAATATCAATATTTTATTTAGTATTAAGAAAGATCCCATTTGTTGTTGGTTCAGCAATTGAGTGGATATTTTGGGTTGCTTACTGTACTCACTGGAAAAGCTGAGTCCATTTTAAGGATGCCATATTGTGTGCAAGTGTCACTGCTGGCAATGAGTGAGAGTTGTGTTGAGGCCGATGAACCTGCCACTTGGTTCAGGAGGAGAGGAGGGCTGGGGCACTGTGAGCCCAGGGCAGTGAGGGGAGAAGAAGAATGGACACATTAACGCCATTCTTGGCTGGTGGAGCATGAAGAACGGCCATGATGTAACAACAGGAATATGAAGAGAATGCTTCTGGAGCAATAAGCAGGAAAGGTGGCACCTTGCCTAAGAAGACTGGGCAAGTCTTCATTCATTCATTTAACCAATCAATATTGACTGCTTAGGGTGCTGAATATGAATTTTCCAAGTGGTAAGAGAGGGGAAAAAAGGGCATTTAGCGGCAGACCCCTCACCACGTTCCAGCATGTTATAAGTGAGAAATACTGTGAAGGGTGGAGGTAACTGGTGGGGAAGGAGCGTGACATAGTATGTTTGGAGTTGTCACTGCCTCTGTCAAAATGGGACCCACTGGATGCTTAATTAGGGAGTGATGCAGCAAAAAGATAGTTCTGGTGGTTGGATGAAGGATGGAAGCTAGACAGATGCAGGGAGGCAGGAAGCTGTTTCCAGAAAGAACCTAAGCTGCATTGACACAGAGGTGATGGAGAGCACAGGGAAGAGGCTCCATACTGATGAGGATCTGTTGATTAACCCACTAGGAAGACGAGGAAGCCATTAGTCGAGATAGGAATACTGAAGGAATCATGCTTTTGAACAGAGATAATAGAGGTACTTTTGCAGATGATGAGGGCGATAACCAGGCAAATCAGACATGAGGAGCAGATCTGGAAATCCATCTGCCTAAAGAGATAGGTGAGGAGATGGAAACAGGCAAAATGGCTTAAGAAAAAACAAGGCTAGAACTAAGAATCACATCTCAGCAGAAGGTTCTTCTTTCTTTCCTTCCTTCCTTTCTTTTCCTTCCTTCCTTTCTTTCTTCCTTCCTTCCTTCCTTTTCTTTTCTTTCACATTGTCTCATGTAGAAGAACTGTATTTTTCTTTAAAAGTTGTATTTACTGTTATTATAAAGGTGATAAGTATATTGCTTTTTGGACAGTGTCACCTACTTCCCTCGTTCTTTCCCAGCTTTTCCCTTTCGTATAGTTCATTTTCAACACAGCGTTTAGTGAGTACCACTGCTGTATTTGTTCACCCTTTGTCCCTCCATTTCTGTGCCTCCCCTTACATTCCCAAAGGCAGATAAACAAGATCAAAAGAAAAAATGAAATGGCAACAAAGAAAACATCTCTGTTTCCATTTCCTGGAGTTCATTTCAATGAATATATTGTGTGATCAGATGCACATGGGCATTGTGCTTTGTGTTCATCTCCTGAAGATGGTTCTCCTTTGGTCTCACTGTGTGTGAATGCCTAGAGGAAGCTTTTTTTTTTTTAATTGTGAAAATACCGTACAGAGGGGTTACAATTACATGGGCAAGGTAATGAGTACATTTCTTATCAAGCATTGTTGCCTCCTCCTTTGTTTCCCCTTCCCATCCCTTCCCATCTCCCCCGCCCCGACCCCAGCAACCTCCCCCCCACCCTCCCGCCACCCTGGCCAAAGTTGTAAAGTTCATTTTTCAACATAATGTCTTGTACATCTCATTGTTGCAATGGGAAGCTTAATTTTTTTAGAGCCAGTGAAGGAACCTTTCAAAATGGGGTTGGAAGATGGCCACAGACAACACTACAGAAACCAAAGAAGGATGGCTTAGAGGGTGCCCAATGTTCTAAGGTCTAAAAATGGTGCCTAGTACAGTGGCTGTCACACATAAATTGCTAATTTTTGGGTGGCTTGCTGGATGAATCCCTGGCTTTAGTAGCAAGGAAGATTTGTGTTGGTCGTGTGGCTTGAATTCAGGGTCTGGGTATTGTCCCTGAGCCTCTTTTCCTTAAGGATAGCACTCTACCACTTGAGCCACAGCTCCACTTCTGGCTTTTATTTTTTGGTAGTTCACTGGAGATAAGAGTCTTACAGCCGGGTGCTGGTGGATCACGCCTGTAATCCTAGCTACTGAAGAGGCTGAGATCTAAGGATCATGGTTCAAAGCCAGCCCGGGAAGAAAAGTCCGTGAGACTCTTATCTCCAATTAACCACTAGAAAACCAGAAGTGGTGATGTGGCTCAAGCGGTAGAGTGCTCGCCTTGAGCTGAAGAGTGCAGGGCTAGCGCCCAAGCCCAGAGTTCAGAAAAAAAAAAGAAAAAGAAAAAAAGAGTCTTAAAGACTCTTCTGTTGGGGCTGGTTTCAAACTGTTATCCTCAGATCTCAGCCTACTGAGCAACCAGCTACCAGTGGCTGGCCTAGTTTGTTTTCTTTGCTTCCTTTTTCTTTTTTTTTTGAGCCAGTCTCACATTATAGTACTGACTAGCTTCAAGCATTGGAAATCCTGTTACCAGACTTGGCCTATTGTTTCTCATTTTCAAAGGCAAAATGACCAGTATGGGAATATCCTTTTTCTGAGGGCCTGGATTCTCTGACCTCCAAGTGCAGTTTTTCCCAAGAAGGAATGAGAAAAGAGAGATTTACAACAGTGGATACTTCCATTGTGATTGGATGTGCTGGGTGGAGGTCTGAAGTGGTGCTTGTGTTCTCTGTGGAAATGGTTTGTGCGTGGGTCGGTAGAAGGGTGGGGGCGGGGTGGAAGAGTGAAGCAGCCTGTGGGGGACACCCCACATCGTTCCCCTTCCAACACCCTGCTCACTCATGGTTGAAGCTGAGACACGTCTGCTGGGAAAGGCATTGTGCATGGCACAACTCTAAGCCAAGGCGTAACTATTAATTCTACCGTAGAATACTTTCCTTACATAGCTTCAAAGCTTAATTATTATATTCATTTTCAGCAAGTAAATTAAAATAGGATCAAACAATTATGTTTGGTAGCCCTCAGTGACTGTCAAATGACGAACAAAATATACTATAACAAGCAGCATTGTGCTGGTTCTACATGCGAAAAAACTAGCTAGCTTGTGGGGATTTGAAGGCATTAAAGTTGGGCCATAAAGCATCTGTGTGAAGTGAGCCCCTCCACCCTCTGCAACTCTGTGTGAAGGGCATTTTTAGGGAGGCTTCCCAGGCCTCCCGGCAGGCAGGACAGCCTTCTTCCTGCGTCCTCATCTCCATGCCTCCACACTGGCTCTCAGAGGCCTCCGTTTCCCTCACTGTACAGGGAGATATTTGAGAGCCTCCCACACCTGTCTCGATCTGTCTCCCCATAATCACTACGAGGTTGCTATCTTGCACAAAATTTGCTAACTATAGCTATTTCAGAGGACACAGCCTTATCTGCTGAAATTCAGGCCTGTGAAAGGAACAAGCCGAGGGAGTCTTCTGTAAGGAGCATGACATCCATGATATAAAGAAAAGCCATCATGTCAGCCTTGAAACAAACTTTTCAGGGATGTAAGTGCCCACAGGCAGAAAGGAGGAGAAGGCAGACGTGACTGCAGGGTGACCAACGAGCTCCTGTGGAGTGGAGGGCCGTGCTGAAAGATCCAGTGAGCGGCCAGCCTCAAGGGGAGCAGGGTGACTGTCAAGTCCTCCTCAGGACAGGGGCTCCACTTGCAGGTGAGGAGGAAAGCAGCAGAGGCTTCTTGGAGGGCAGAATAATTACTGGGGGCAAAGGGAAGTTGCTCTTTAAAAATACTTTGGGCTTTCCTGTTACTAGTCACCTAGGACTGGGAAATGAGGCTTAATGATCTCTCAAGGGCGCAAAGGCTGCCACAGAACCTAACTAAGACGATGGGAGCAGAACAGGCAATGGGGACGCGGCCGTGCTGACCACTTCTTATTGGAAGAGAGGAACTCATCACCGGTGGCTGAAGTATGACAGAGA